TCATGCGCTTACTAAATCTTTTCCGTTTTGATTTAAAATACACATTTCTTAAAACTTATAGCCAATTAGCCTAAAAGGGCGGGCGCATTCAGTTTTTTTTTTTTTTTTTTTTAATCATCAAAAGTCAAAGATTTCGATGGATGAAATATTCTTATTGGATATTAGAGAAGTCAATGATAGGCGCACGGAGCTTTACTTTTAAAACTCATGCGCTTACTAAATCTTTTCCGTTTTGATTTGGATTAGATGACTGGGTCAAAAAAGTCAAAATTTTGGTTGAAGAAGGACACTGTAAGTAGCTATTTAAATAATTTAATGATAGTATTTTTAAGAAAAATAAAATATTTTAATTTAAATTAATATGATAGGTAAGTAAAATAAATAAAAAATAAAAATAACTATCTTTAATTACTGTTAATTATGTAACTCAAGATGTGAAAAAAAAAAAAACACATAATTTTTTAACTTAAAATTATATTTAACGCACCTTTTAACTATATTTAATCCACATTTTAATTATTAAGTTATATAAAAAAAACTAAAATTTTTATTTTTATTTTAGTAATTAACTAATTAAATTAATACATATGATATTAATAATAAAAATAATATTAAATTTTTTTTATTTTTATATAAATTAATAATAAAAAATATATTAATTACATTTTTAATATGTATAATAAAGACAAAAATTAGAAAATTCTAAATAAAAAAGAGTTAATATAAAGATAAGCACAAAATAGAATACGAACCTTTGCATATCATTGTACTTTTTTTATTCTTTCCAAGTTTTTTATTTCTCTCTCTTTTGACGGAATAAATTATAGTATTTTTTGTTTAAACAGTGTGAAACCTTTTTTTTTTCTTGGGGAATGGGGAATGGGGGGACTTGGAATTTGATCTCAAGTTCTGATAGTCCTACGCACGTCCCTTGCAAACGTCCCTTGCAAGGGAGTGGCCATTTGGCCACCGAAAGCAGGACAAATTATAGTAATTAATTAATAAGATTTTATAAAAAAATTTTAATATGTGTCTCTAAATTATAAGTTAAAAATATTTATTATAATTTTTACTATTAATTTATATAAAAATTACAAAAAATAAATTTTATTTTCAATACATATATTATGTGAAATATTTTAATTAAATAATTAATAAAATTAAGATAACTTTTATTTTTTTCATAAACCTAAGATTTATTATTTTCTGCTTAAGTTATTGTCAATCATAATTTTGTTAAGACCATCTATTATAATTATAATTTATCAAATTCTAACTTTTGAAAAATAATTAATTTTAATTTTTGTAAATATTTATTTATAAATTAATTTTTTTATTAATTATCACTTATTTTTAATATTTACATTAAAATAAAAATTTTAGTGTTTGAGTCGCCTTAAATTTGTGACCATAACCGTCATTTCCCCGAGTCAAATAATTTGCGCGTGTTTGTTTTGATGCATTTCCGTCCCACTTATCTTTTCTTCCTCCTTATAATCACAACCACATGCACAACTCTGTTCAAAAGAAACAATATAGTCGACTTTCAAGCACGTTTTAAAGTTCTTTGCTTGCACACGCATTTTCCGCAGAAATCCAGCTGCTATATGCCTATATATATCTGATGACTTTCATATATATATCCTATCTAAAGCCACTGTAATTGATTAGCAACAAACAACAGTTGAAAATGGTGGTGGCTCAATTTAGCGGAGGCGGAAGGGGTGGCGGGTGGAAGGAGATGAGGGGGTTCGGCCTCCAGGTGATAATTGGGCGGTGGTTCATGGTTTTCGCTTCCCTACTAATCATGGCGGTGGCAGGAGCAACATATATGTTTAGTTTATACTCCAATGACATCAAAAAGTCATTGGGGTATGACCAAACTACCCTCAATTTGCTCAGCTTCTTCAAGGACCTTGGTGCAAATGTGGGGGTCATTTCGGGACTCATAAATGAAGTCACACCGCCATGGGTGGTTCTCTCCATTGGAGCAATCATGAATTTCTTCGGCTATTTCATGATGTGGCTTGCCGTTACTGGCCGTATTGCGAAACCGCCGGTATGGCAGATGTGTCTGTACATAAGTATTGGTGCCAATTCTCAATCCTTCGCCAACACGGGGGCGCTCGTCACCTGTGTCAAGAACTTCCCAGAAAGCAGAGGAAGCGTTTTGGGGCTTTTAAAGGGTTACGTCGGCCTCAGCGGCGCAATCATGACCCAAATCTACCATGCTTTCTACGGAGACAACCCCGAAGCCTTAATCTTGCTCATAGCTTGGCTACCGGCAGTAGTTTCCTTTATTTTCCTCCGGACAGTTCGGAGTATTAAGATCGTTCGTCAGGCGAATGAGCTCAAAGTTTTCTATCACCTCCTTTACATCTCTCTTGGCCTCGCTGGATTCTTAATGGCACTGATTATAGTTCAGAATAGACTGAATTTTACTCGGATTGAGTACTTCGGAAGTGCTTCCGTTGTTACCCTCCTGCTGTTTATACCGCTTGGTATCGTCATAAGAGAAGAATTCAATCTCATGAAAATCAAAAGAAAATCCCTGGATGATCTTCCTCAGCTCAATGTAGTCACTGAAAATCCACTGGAGTTAGTGACGGCGCCAGAGGACCCACCACCACAAACAGAGAAGCACGTTTCTTGCATGGAAAACGTTTTTAAGCCGCCAGACAGGGGAGAGGATTACACAATATTACAAGCCCTTTTCAGCATCGATATGTTGATTCTCTTTGTTGCAACTACCTGTGGCGTCGGAGGGACACTTACTGCCATCGATAATTTGGGTCAGATCGGAGCATCTCTAGGCTACCCGAGTCGAGCCACCACAACCTTTGTCTCCCTTGTCAGCATATGGAACTACCTGGGACGAGTAGTTTCCGGATTCGCCTCCGAAGTCCTTTTAAGAAAGTACAAAATCCCTCGCCCCCTGCTCCTCACCATCGTCCTCCTCCTCTCCTGCGTTGGTCACATCCTAATTGCATTTGCAGTCCCAAATTCTCTTTACTTCGCATCTGTAATCATTGGATTCTGCTTTGGAGCGCAGTGGCCGTTAATGTTTGCCATCATTTCCGAAATCTTTGGCCTCAAGTACTACTCTACTCTGTACAATTTCGGCGCTGTTGCCAGTCCGGTCGGTTCTTACATTCTAAACGTGATGGTAACCGGTAAATTATACGACAAAGAAGCTCGGAAGCAACTGGAAGCTTCAGGACGTTCGAGGGAAGAAGGGGAGGACTTGTCGTGCACCGGCGTGCACTGTTATAGAATGGCGTTTATTATTATCACGGCAGCCACTTTTTTCGGCTGCATTGTTTCTTTGATTTTGGTGTTCCGGACCAGGAAATTTTACAAAGGTGATATCTACAAGAAATTTAGGGAAGAAGCTAAGGCAGCAGAAATCGGCATGACTTCTGCAGAAAATGGTAGGGACGACAAGAGACCCCCGGCTGAAGAAGTTGAACATAGAGCTACCACAGCCACCGTCGCCGCCACAACCACCACTACCGACTGATGGAATTGAGTAGCTATAAGTTGCATTCGCTTGGAGCGGTTTATTGATACGGTGATACGCAAAACAGAGAAAAAGCAAGTGTGTTTTATTTAAGTTATACCTATATAAAATGGCAAAATACTAACTATAAATAATACAATTTTTAATTATGAGATGTATAATAGTTGGTGTTATACATTTTAAATTTTAAAATATTAAACTAAAAACATAAAACACTATTAAAAGATGATAAGTAAAATTTTTTTCTCATTATTTTTTGAAACATATTACTTCTTTAGTTAAATATATGTTATTTTTAAATAAATGTATTAAAGTCAAATAATTCAACCTAAATTCAGATCGATTGCTTAACAAATTTCCCCATCAAATAGTGAAAAAGTAAGCCCAAACTCAATCAAGAGGGCAACTTGTTCAATTTAAGACGCAAAATCTCCAAAATAGGTTAGTAACTAAACTAAAAAAACGCTAGGCAAAGTCTAAAGAAGCTTTTGCCGACATCTTTGGAGTTTGTCAGCATATGCTGCGTGTCCCTCCCATCACTACCCGTTCCGGGTAAAGAACAGAGACATATATTGTCGTTTCGGGTAAAGAACAGAGACATATTTGTTACCTTCTGGTACGAATATCAGTTAACTGTCACACCCACTTAATGATTTGCCCCACCATCAATAATTGATGACAAAAAGTATCACTCAGGATCTCATGATTTTCATGTGGTTTGTTTTTCCAAGGGCCACTCTACGCCTGTTGTCTTTCGGAAGTTACGAAGTAATGTTATAATAGATCGGTCCCCAAGTCCATTGGTCCCCTGGCTTTTTTTTGGTTCTATTTTTTAATTTTTAAATTATTTAATTTCTAAATCTAAAAAATATAAACCATAAACCTTAACACAATTAACACTAAAGTTTTTTTTTTAAAAAAAGACCTAAACCATAACACTTTAAATATTAAACCCTAAAAATAATTAAAAGATAAAAAACATAAACCTTAATACTTTAAATATTTCATCCTTCTAAACCATAATAATATTAGTTTATATTGGTTTTAACTAAAAAAATGGAGACAAAAATAAATTTGAATTGCTAAAGTGAGGACTAAATAGCCAGTAAAAAAAAAAAGTATGAAGTATGAACTAAATAACAAATTTATTCTTTAAAAAAGAAGAAGAAAAAAAAAAACCTAGAGGTCGGCCTTTGGTCAGCCTTTTAGGGTTCGGCCCACCTATGAAAGTGGGCTAGTGGATACTTTGCTTAAATATTTTGGTCATTGGTGGCCTAATTTTGTTGGTCTAATTTGTTAGTATCCATCTGCGATTGTTTAATTACCCAGTTGTTTCCATTGTTCCCCTACAACTGACACAATGGATTTTTCCTCTTTTTTTTTTTTGGGGATAAAATTTTAAGTCTTTCTATAATTGTTTTAATAGAATCTCTAATAAAATTTTGAAAAAGTTAATTTTTTTTACCTAAAATAAAATTTATTTATTAACAAGTGAAAAGTTAGATCTGCTGAATAATATATATACTAATGGTAGGTTTGGTTTTAAGGAAACAAAAAATGGGGGGAAGGGAGGAGAATGTAAAGATACCACATCCTTCAATTTCCCTCATCCTTTTTTTCATTTGGATAAGTTCTCATTCTTTCTAAACTTTTTGCTAATTAAATAAAAAAATTTTCACCCCTCCTCTTCCTTTCCCTTAAATCAAACATGTTATAAAATTCTAAGCATATTCGTACAAAGCTAGGTCACAATGATATTTTTAAAAAATATCTAAGTAATTATTATGAATGGATTTAGTTTGGCTGATTTTATCATATTATGGCTTCTTCTTCTTCTTCTTTTTCATTTTCCTTTAATAGCTAGATATGGTATTTGAAAACGTTATTTTATTGATTTTCAATTGATATCAATTGTTTTATCAGTTATTAGTTAACAGCTATACATATATTAGTTAACAACTATACTTATTAGTTGTTAGAAACAATTAAATCAAATAAATTCTACACTATATAAAAAGGCAGTGGATGAGATGCGCTCAAAAGTCTTTACACAAACCTTTGTGCACACCTCATGAAGCAGGTAGGGTCACCATTAAGAAGAGGCTCAATTGTTTGAAACCTTAGATTTTAAGTTGAAAGTTTTAAATTTAAATCTTAAATTAAATGAGGAAAGATTTAAAAAAATAAAAGAGTTATCCCTTATATAGCTATCATTAAACGAAGCAAGCAAGGTTTTATTTTTTTTTACTTTCCTGAACTAGATTGAAATTTTATAGATTAAGCCATTTGACATTTACAACAATTAAGAAGAGCCTAATCTCATAAATGAGCATTTGCCTTCATTCATTATAAAATAAACACAACAAAATGAAGATTTTTTTTTTTTTGTACGAAAAAAGAAAACTAGATAGTAACAAAAGTAGCCAAAATGGGTGCTAAATTTTACTAAATCTATGTTAG